TGATTGTCAACCCCTCTGTCCAGCTGCATTAGCTAGTATTTGGGAAACACTACTTGTGACAATTATAAAAAAGTATGCCTTTTCCCTCAGATGTTAAATAAATCAGTCCTAAGTCCACCCCCTAGCTGCTGGTGTCTATAAGCACTGACTTTAAGAAATTCTGTAGCTATGGGCACAGCTAAATTTTAATTCAAAAAATGTTACACTGTGTGTGGTCAACAAGACTATTTTTAACCTAATGGTCAACCACTGTGAAATTACATGTACTCAGATGTAACTTCTGATACACAGATCGACCCTAGAGCTGAAGAAAATTTTTCCCTCCATTGAGATTTCAATGGTTCCTATAAAAGCAGGATGTTCTTTAGCAAATGCACATGTTCAGATTACGTGTTGCTTTGACAACCAGCCTGCAATGGGTTATGGAGAATTTTCCAGGTTCTACAACAATAAACTCTTTATACAGCAGGGTGACGCGTACAAGGGGAAATGCTGGCTCTTTTCCTAATGAATTTTGGTACCTAAATGTTTGTCTACATGTAAACTGATCTTTTAGAGTTGCTCAACGCCACTCATGCAAAAGGTGAGACAGCTGCTACTTTATGGCCCTGCATGAGGATGGCTTAAATGCATTCCAACAGTTCAGTTACCTTCAAGATCACAACTCCATTTGTTCCTTTCAATCTCTTATGATCACACACTAACTGAACCAAGCTCTAGCGCACACTATTAATTTAACAGTCATATTGCAGTACTACCCAGATGGTCTGAAGGACACACCTGAACCTTTCACAGGCCCGACCCTGCATCTTGATCCTCACAAAGAGGTCATTTCACATGGTGGCATTTGCAGAATCAGATTGTGTGTTAGATGAAAACTGAAAATCCTTGAAGTTATTAGGACAAAGATTTTAAGCATCCTGATTTTAAAAGGCAATAGCTTGTTTCCCTCTGCTCCACATGGTTAGGTGATAATATTTCCAAAAAACGTATTAAAGTTCCAGGACTAAAGTTAGAAGAGTTTATTGCTCGTAAGCCTCTATCAGCCAGATTAACTGCAATTTCTCCCCCACCCCCCTCCCCAGTATCTTTCCTGATTAGATTGATATACACAACCATTATGTTATTACGCAATATATTTTGCTGTAGTATATAT